CTTCATGGTATAGGATAAAGATGTAAGATCTGGTACCAGAACTGCTTCAACAATAGCTCCACATAATAAAAGACAGAGGAAAAGGGACTTGGAAAAGGCAGACAGTGCAGGATAGGAGTGAAAAGTAAAGAAAGACAAGTGGGAAAAAGACAAAGAGAGAAAAGAGATGCCCAAGGCTCAAAAAGCACATATGAGATGAGAAGAAAAGAAGTAACACAGAGTCAAGAAATACGGTAGAGGCAAAAAGAGATGAATAGAGCCTGGGCGGCAGTGGGTGAAGAGAATGAAAATGGTCTTATTAAGTTCCTGGGTGGCTCTGTCGGTGAAGCGTCTGCCATCAGTTCAGGTCATGATCCCAGGGTCCTGGGATCGAGCCCCGCAGAGGGCTCCCTGCTCCGTGGAAAGCCTGCTTCTCCCTCTACCCTTCCCCCCTGCTCGTGATCTCTCTCTCACTCAAATAAATAAAATCTTTAAAAAAAAGAAAATCTTGGGGCGCCTGGGTGGCTCAGTTGGTTGAGCGACTGCCTTCGGCTCAGGTCATGATCCTGGAGTCCCGGGATCGAGTCCCACATTGGGCTCCCTGCTCAGCAGGGGGTTTGCTTCTCCCTCTGCCCTCTTCCCTCTCGTGCTCTCTGTCTCTCATTCTCTCTCTCTCAAATAAATAAATAAAATCTTTAAAAAAAAAAAAAGAAAGAAAATCTTATCACCCACTGCCTTGCACTTCAGACTGGCTTCAGCATAAACTATTGTCTGTACCACTGTCCTTTGAAGCTCTAGCACTATTCATAGCTCAGAGGCTATTCTAGCTTGTGGGAACAATAGCATGTATCCAAGGAGACAGTGTCTTTGGTTGAAAAGACCATCACCAACAGAATTGCTAGATAAAGAAACAGAGGACATAAGCGGTTAAAATCCAGATTCCTAAGCATGACATAGGAGGCCCTTAATACTCTTGGCCCAACTGCGTTCTAAGACCCTATGCTACAGAGAACGACATGCGTCACCTCCAGTTCTCCTACATGACACCACCACCTCTGGTATGAAGCCTCGAACAGATGTGTCACCTCTCACTCCAACTGAGCTACCACAGCGCCTGGGACACAGTGAGTCCTCGGCTGACCAGAGCTCATAAAAAACTCACTCCAAATGTTCTCTTTCTCAAAATTCTCGTATTTCAACAGAAACACTTGTCCATCAGGTTAAATTCCATGACAGTTTTCACTCACTGGATCTGAACATGATTAGATAATGCTTCAGAGGGGCCCACTGTGTCACACTGTCTTATTCTGACTCTTGGCATGCAACGTGGGGGCACAAGGGGCCAGTCCTGCTCTGTGTTCCCTTGTTACTGGGGGGTCTTTTGCTTCCTCTGCCTCTTACTAAATTTGCCTTCTCCCCTGGAGCTTCGCCACAGGAAAGCTGGATCTTGCCTGTCCCTCAGTGCCAAAGCTTTTGTCTTTATCACATAGGGAAAAGAGAACCAGTCAGGATATCAGAAACCAGAATTCTCGCTGTGACTCCGTTGGTCAAGCAGATCAACATTTCCTAGCTTCAGTTTCTTTGTAAGTAAAATAGGAATAAAAATTCCTGCCCCATCTGCCTGGGTGCCAGTTGAGCATTTAACTCTTGGTTTCAGCTCAGGTCATGATCTTCGGGTTGTGAGAGAGAGCCCAGACTTGCACTCAGCATGGAGTCTGCTTGGGATTCTTTCCCGCTCCCTCCCCCTCTGCCCTTCACCCCAATCCAGCTCTTGTGCTCGCTCTCAAATAAATAAATAAATAAAATCTTTAAAAAAACTCCTGCCCTACCTACCTCAGGTGATTATTATGGAGATCATATAAAACAGTAGATCTGAAAATCCATAGCTCTAAAATAAGACTTAATTGATTTTTATTGTTAAAAGGTAATGACAATAGCCAAGATATGGAAACAATCTAAGTGTTCATCAATGGATGAATGGATAAAAAAATGTTGTACATATATACACACAATGAATGGAATGTTATTCAGCCATCAAAAAAAGGAGGAAATCCCACCATCTGTAACAACATGGATGGACCCTGAGGGCATTATGCTAAGTAAAATAAGCCAGTCAGAGAAAGACAGATAGAATACAGTCTTGCTTATATGTGGGATCTAGAAGAAATTTTTTTTACTTAAAAAAAAAAAAAAAAACTGAGCTCATAGATACAGAGAACAGATTGGTCGTTGCAAGAGGCAAAGGGTTGGTAAAATAGGTGAAAGGCGTCAAATGGTACAAATTTCCAGTTATAAAATAAATAAGTCACAGGCATGTAATGTACAGCATGGTGACTATAGCTAATAATACTGTACTGCATATTTGAAAGCTGCTAAGAGAGTAGATTGCAAACGTTCTCATGGGAAAAGAAGATCACAACTATGTATCATGATGGATGTTAACCAAACTTATTGTGGTGATCATTTTGCAATATATACAAATATCAAATCATTATGTTATCCATCTGAAACTAATATAATGTTTTATGTCAGTTTTACCTCAATTAAAAAAAAAAGTAGCTAATGAGTCTTAATCACACTAATAACTTTAGCAACCTTTAACTAGATTAGCTACAGCAAATAGACTAAAACACTGCTACCAGGTTTGCTAAAAGCAAATCATCTCATCATTAGTTGTTTATCAAGTGCTTATCCTAACTCCATGGTTTTCTACCTTTTTCTAACCTTTCCTAGCAAACCTAAGGGCCATGAGACATACACATTGCTAACAATGGGCATCCTATTGATCTCAAAAGATTGGGAGAGCCCACTATTTGACAAATACTAGGCTGCATTTTGAGGATACCACTGTAAGCAGGAACAAACATTCCCGCATTCATGGGACTTATAGGCTCAGGGGACAACATGAACAACAAACACAGACACATACCCAAAATGACTAGAAAGCATGTATGTGAGCATGCATGCATGCATTTGTATTTCCTGTACCCTCACTTTGAAACAGCCCCACCAGTGATACCATCCCCTTCCACTCTCACCCCCAGGGAACCACACACCTCCACATCATGAATCATTGTGTTAGGAGCCGGAAGAGAATTAAACTCTACCAAGCGCTACAAGAGAATTTCTTCCAAAGCTAATTAATCATTGACATATAAGTAAAGCAAACTAGGTAAAGATCAGGAGACTTAAATAGAGTCCCAAATTCAGGACTGGTCACATAATTTGCAAGTACTGGTGCAAAGTGAAAAAAATGTAGGGCCTCTAATTCAAAAATAATTAGGAATCTCAAGGCAGTGATAACAAGCATTTAAACTAAGCTTAGAACCCTCTGTGATTGCACAGGTCAAACCCCCTGAAATCTTCCTGGCTTCCATCCTTAAGGAATGTGTAACTTGTAGTCAGTCACTTACCCTACCTCAGGTTCCTTACAGCTATAAAATTAGAGGAGGGAAGAAAAGGCTTTCAGCTTCTTCCCATAACTAACATCTGTGTTTCTCTATTTAGAAGACAGTTCATTCATTCGGAGAGAATTATTTTACCCTTTTATATAACCACTAAAATGCTCACTGTGACTCAAAGCTAATGTTGAAACCCTATATGTAGTATTTTACCTTTAACCATTTTGATGGGTTTTTTTTTTACCCTAGACAACTCCTTAATTTTGTCTACGAGAACAAATCTCCAAAGCAGTTTTCCAAGTTTACTAGTCTCCCATTTATGCCACTTAAATCTGAAATTCCTAACTGAGGTCTCCATCTATAAAGTAATTTTTCCCATAGTAAAGTATCTCCTTGCACAAATTTGGTATTTTCTTTTTTTCTATTCCTGAAGAATTATCTATTCTGAATAGGCATCTGGGTCTGCTCCAATAAAAAGGAGGCAAAATGTCAATTTCAGAGTTAGTTAACCTTTTAATTCCAGCAGTTTAGTATTTAGCATGACATAACTAATAACTATCCAAACCAGGGGTTCTTAACCTAGAGTCCGTGGAAAGAATTCTGGGAACTAATTAACTTGAACGGAAAAAAAATATATCTTTATGTCCATCCAACTTCTAACTAAAATTTAGCATTTTCTTCAATTATGAATGTAGGCAACAAACCATAGGAATATTAGTAGTGCCTATGGCTTGATCACCAATAAATATTATCCATATTTTCATATCATATTCTAGCTATTGCAGATATCTTAAAACATCATTTATGTTCAACATTACCTCAAAATTGCAATAGTTACTAAGCCCAAAAATAGATCTTATGGTTTAATGTGTTAGTAAAAAATCATATATGTTATTACAACACAAAATTGGTTTTTACGTTGAAATAACTGTATTTTAATGTAACTTGCTTCCCTTGCAATCCTAAATATATCAATTTATGCATCTAAAAAAATAATTCTGAAAAAAGGTCCATAGCCTTCACCAGACTATTCAAAGGATCCACAGTACAAAACAGGTGAAGAAACCCTGGTCAAAAGAAGTTACAGAGGTCATGTGACAATAAAATAGAACCAAATGTACTCCTGTCTCACAAGTAGTAATAGACCCATTTTAATATAAATAGTCTTTGGGCGCCTGGGTAGCTCAGATGGTTAAGCGTCTGCCTTCGGCTCAGGTCATGATCCCAGGGTCCTGGGATCAAGTCCCGCATCGGGCTCTCTGCTCCTTGGGAGCCTGCTTCTCCCTCTGCCTCTCTCTCTCTGTCTCTCATGAATAAATAAATAAAATCTTTAAAAAAAAAAAAACAAAAAAAAAATATATATATAAATAGTCTTTAAACTTCTAATTCAACAGCAATGTCTACATACAACAAAATCTTCATGGTCTGTTTATTTTAACTTAATAATAATTAAGTATACCAAAATAGAACAGCTTTTGCTGTTGTTGTTTGTGGATTTTTTCTGTTTTTGGTTTTTTGGTTTTTTTTTTTTGCACATGTGACCATAGGATTTGATATGAAAGAGTATAACCCAGATACATGTCTTTACACCACAATCTCAAAAGTTCTTTGGATCGGTACCTGAGATGACAGTAGGTTACAATCAATGAACAGTCCTTTCCCCGTTTTATATCTTTGTATCAGTCCAGCCATAATGGCTCCATATGCATACAGGCCAGTAGCAAGATCAGTCATGGCCACTCCTGGACGAACTGGATCTCCATCCTGGGTTGGGGTGAGAAAAACAGAGAAAACTGAAAGTTGAAACCACCATATTTTTTCTCAAATATTCTCTCTCTTTTTTTTTAAAGATTTCATTTATTTATTTGTGAGAGAGAGAATGAGAGAGAGCACATGAGAGGGGGGGAGGGTCAGAGGGAGAAGGAGACTCCCTGCCAAGCAGGGAGCCCGATGCGGGACTCGATCCAAGGACTCTGGGATCATGACCTGAGCCAAAGGCAGTCGCTTAACCAACTGAGCCACCCAGGCGCCCTTTTCTCAAATATTCTAAGATCAAACAGAAGAAAAAATTGTTTATGACATATGCATGCACACACACAAAAGGAATACAACAAGCTGCTATGGTGATTATCTGCTGGTGGTAAGAATATATTTATATTTACTGTATTTTTCACTCCATCTCCTACCAACCAAACTAAACCAAATCAAATCATATCAAATATTTTTAAACATGTCTAGGGGCGCATGGGTGGCTCAGTCAGTTAAGCGTCTGCCTTCCGCTCAGGTCATGATCCCAGGATCCTGGGATCGAGCCCCATATCGGGCTCCCTGATCAGTGGGGAGCCTGCTTCTCCCTCTGCCTGCCACTCCCCCTGCTTGTGCTCTTTCTCTCTCTCTCTCTCGCTATCTCTCTCTCTCTGTGTCAAATAAATAAAATCTTAAAAAAAAAACCACACATGTCTGAAGATCCTTCTTAATGTATTTACCTTGTTTATCCTAAAAAATAAATAACTGAATTTGAATTTAAATGAGTAAATCTACTGGAAACGAAAGAGAGCTTTTTTTTTTTTCTTGTTGGGTAGGAGGCTCTCCCAGGAAAAAGAAGGCAGAAGACCTGGTCTATTCTCCTTATAAGCACGCTAATTACTGACAAATATACTAATGGTATTTGCTTAAGAAAAAAAAAGTACTTATCCATAGAAGGCTTTTAGCAGAATACCCTTGTTTTAGAAGTACTATGGAAAACAAACCTAGAATCCATAGGTTTATAAAGGATGGGACATCACCTGTGCAATTATTGGAGTATAAAATGGAATGTTTCGCAGCCTATAATGTTCCCTATTGTATGAGGTAACCCATGTACTTCATTAGAGATCATATCTACTGCTCTGGGATTGACAGTTTTGTCTATGGTGAAAAGAAAGAACCTGGGGGGTCTCTCTCAATATCCAGGACCCCTGTCTGCTTTTCCTGTGCCTTTTGGTTCCTTGTATCCTTAAAATTAAAAGTAAACCTTAATACTGATTAACATTTTCAATTCATGTCAGTCTGATCTGACAATCCAATCTTTGACCTATATGTAAAGATATTAGAACAGTGCCTGGCAAACAATAACTATCCTATAAAAATTAGCTAACATTATCATTAACATTATTATCAGTCATTGTTATATCATAGAGTTCCTATTTTGCACTACCTTGAATTCTGTTAATCCTTTCATCACACAGAATACCTAAAAAAAGCCTACATTTCATCTGGTTGATACATTCATTCAATCACTCCCTTATTCATTAATTCCAGCTGTTATTCAATCATTTTCAGAAGCTAGTTTTTTCTTTCCTGCAATCCATACATGAAGTGTATCAATCATCTTATGAGAGTGCTAAATAATGTTAAAAGAAAGTAAACGAGAATATTTAATGACTAAACTTTTTCTCTGCTTTTCAACTCAATTTCAAGGAAGATAAAGCAATTAAAATTGGAAACCTCTGGCTGTTTTCTACCTATTATGATTGGAAAAAACTTGTAGTGGCTTGAATCAGTAAATTTAAAATTAAATTTATCATTGGGATTTAAGATTATTTATAGTGTTAAAAATGAGAGACAAGTTCAAATTTAAGTTTATAGACACATTTTCTCACTATAAAATGAATAAACTCATATTTTATCTGCTCTACTTCTCAGACCAGTAGGAATAAATGAGATAATAAATCCTTTATCTTATATTTAAACTTCCTGAAAAGGGGAGACTATACCTGATTAATATTCCAAAAACATCATTACATTATCCAGAATAACAATATGAAATTATAAGCATTAAACAAACATTAAGTTACATCAATATATTAGAGACAACATTATCACTGTTAGAAGTGACAATTTATGCCAAATAATTTCAGTGAAACACCAACTGAAACCAACTTACTAACACACTTCAGATTCAAAGATACAAATAGGCTGAAAAAATGAAAGCATGGGAAAAAATATGTCATGCAAACAACAGCCATAAGAATGCTGGAGTGGCTATACTAATACCAGACGAAATAGATCTTAAAACAAACCAAAAAAATGTCACTAGAGAAAATAAAAATAGAAAATGGGATCATTGCACTAGGAAGATATAACAACTATAAGCACATATGCACCTAAAAACAGAGCTGCCAAAAAACAAAAAGCAAAAAGTGACTGATTTGAAAGGAGAAACAGACATATCAGGAATACTAGAAGGAGGTTTCAAACTCAAATATGAACAGTGAGTAGAACAACTAGATAGTAATATTCTATTGTATATATGGACCACATCTTCTTTATCCATTCATCTGTTGAGGGGCATCTCAGCTCTTTCCACAGCTTGACTATTGCGGGACATCGCTGCTATGAACACTGGGGTGCATATGGCCCTTCTTTTCACTACATCCGTGTCTGTGGGGCAAATACCCAGGAGTGCAATTGCTGGGTCATAGGGTAGCTCTATTTTTAATTTTTTGAGGCACCTCCACACTGTTTTCCAAAGTGGCTGTACCAACTTGCATTCCCACCAACAGTGTAAGAGGGTCCCCCTTTCTCCACAACCTCTCCAACATTTGTTGTTTCTTGCCCTGTCAATTTTTGCCATTCTACCTGGTGTAAGGTGGTATTACTCAGCCATCAGAAAGGATGAATACCCAACTTTTACAACAACATGGATGGGACTGGAGGAGATTATGCTAAGTGAAATAAGTCAAGCAGAGAAAGTCAATTATCATATGGTTTCACTTATTTCTGGAACATAAGGAATAGCATGGAGGACATTAGGAGAAGGAAGGGAAAAATGAAGTGGGGGGAAATCGGAGGGAGAGATGAACCATGAGAGACTATGGATTCTGAGAAACAAACTGAGGGTTTTAGAGGGGAGGGGTGTTGGGGGATGGGTTAGCCCGGTGATGGGTATTAAGGAGGGCACAAACTGCATGGAGCACTGGGTATTATATGAAAACAATGAATCGTGGATCACCACATCAAAAACTAATGATGTATTGTATGGTGACTAACATAACAATAAATTAAAATGTAAAAAAAAAAAGAACTAGATAGAAAATCAAAAAAGAAAGAAAAGATTTGAATACCATAAACCAAGTATATCTAATATCTAGAAAACACTTCATCCAACAACAAAACACACATTCTTCTCAAGTGGACATGGAAAATCCTCTAGGACAGACAATATCATAGGCCATAAGACAAGCTAAAATAAATTTAAAAGTAGTGAGTTCATACAAAATATGTTCTCAGGTAACAACTGAATGAAATTAGAATCACTAACAGAGGCATATTTTGGAAACCCAAAAATATGTGGACAGTAAACAACAATTTCAAAACACTAATGAGTAACAAAAAAAATCACATAAGAAATTAGAAAATACCTCAAGATGAATAAGAGGCATCCATATTGGTAAAGAAGTTAAAACTGTCCCTATTTGCAAACGACATGATACTATACATAGAAAGTCTTAGACTCCAGGGGTGCCTGGGTGGCTCAGTTTTTAAGCATCTGCCTTCAGCTCAGGTCATGATCCCAGGGTTCTGGGATAGAGCCCCACATCGGGCTCCCTGCTCAGCGGGAAGCCTGCTTCTCTCTCTCCCACTCCCCCTGCTTGTGTTCCTGCTTTCACTGTCTCTCTCTCACTGTCAAATAAATAAATAAAAAATCTTTAAAAAAAAAAAAGAAAGAAAGAAAGTCCTAGACTCCAGTAATAAATGAATTCAGTAAAACCGCAGGATACAAAATTAATACCCAGAAATCAGTAGCATTCTATATACCAATAACAAAATAGTAGAAAGAGAAATTAAGAATACAACCTCATTTGCAATTGCACCAAAAAGAATAAAATACCTAGGAATAGACTTAAAGAGGTGAAAGACCTGTACTTTGAAAACTATAAAACACTGAGTAAAGAAACTGAAGATGAAACAAATGGAAAGATATTTCATGCTCATGGATTAGATGACTTAATATAAATGTTAAAATGTGCATACTACCCAAAGCAATCTACAGATTCAATGCAATCCTTATCAAAATACCAATGGTGTTTTTTTGACAAAAATAAAACAAATAATCCTAAAATTTATATGGAACCACAAAAGACCTCAAATACTCAAGGAAATCTTGAGGAAGAAAAACAAAGCTGCAGGTATCACAATTCCAGATTTCAAGTTATACTACAAAGCTGTAATAATCAGGGCACCTGGGTGGCTCAGTCATTCATGAAGTGTCTGCCTTCGGCTCAGGTAATGATCCCAGAGTCCAGGATTGAGTCCCACATTGGGCTCCCTGCTCAGCTTCTCCCTCTGTCCCTCAACCCACTCGTGCTCTCTCTCAAGTAAATAAAATCTTAAAAAAAAAAAAAAAAAAAAAGCTGTAGTAATCAAAACAGTATGGTACTGGCACAAAAATAGACACATAAATCAATAGAACAGAATAGAGACCCCAGAAATGAACCCACACTTATACGATCAATTAATCTATTACAAAGGAGCCAAGAATACACAATGGGGAAAAGACAGTCTCTTCAATAAATGGTGCTGGGAAAACTAAATAGCTACATGTAATAGAATGAGCTGGACCACTTTCTAATACCATACACAAAAATAAACTCAAAATAAATTAAAGACCCAAATGTGAGCCCTGAGACCATAAAAATTCTAGGAGAACACAGACAGTAATTTCTCTAACATCAACTACAGCAAAATTTTTCTAGATATGTCTCCTAAGAGGAGGGAAAAAA